GTTCTCAAACCAGCAATTGGATGGCGGAGTTGGCGTTGTTGAGTTGGCATTGAGCTAGTTCAAGACGCTCGATGAGCATCTCTATCTCAGCTGCGTTCGGTCCTGGGGCACTTAACAACCCTTCCGCGTCGTTCACCAGTCGAGTTACTTTTTTCCCGATAGCGTGGCACTTTTTCTTAAGAACGTCCATTATATGTGAAGGGTGACTCACGTTCCATCTTTGAACGATCCGCAACAATGTCAATCCCGGGTTTTGGCACCACATTTTTGTTGACGTCGCTGCGGGTCGTCACAGTAATCGATTCATTCCCACACAACTAGCAATAATTTACTATATACAACACTCTGAATAAAAGATCGACATTTGAAAGCTTACAAAGTCAAAACGTTGAGTCGTTCCCGTTCGTCATCGTCGTTTCCCTTTTTCTTCTCGTTTTTGTCCCATACGGAGGTGCCGGCGCAGCTTAGCAGACTTCTTCCGTTTCTTCTTGTACTCCCTCTTGGCGTAACTTCAACAGAGGTTTATCCGACATATTTGAAGCACTCTGCTGGTGCGAGATGATCGTTTGTGCGAAGGGAAGACCTGGGCGGGGTTGGGACTCCGGGAACAAAGGCTTCGCTCCCATTGCTTTCGGACATCACAGCAGCGACTCCTTAGTTGGGAGGTGTTGTAAGTGACCCATTAAAAAGATTAGCGAGAGACCGCGAGAGTGTGCTTTCTGACGATCTAAATACATCTGTACTATCGTGGACACTGCTAGCTATAAAACGGCAGCGGCGGCCGTCCCGTACCCCCAGCGCCACATAGCAGCCGCCGTCCAAAACTCCGCGCATGCGCCGTGTGGCGGCCGTGTGGCGCTTTCTTGTCTGCAAGGCACAGAGCAGACGACGCCACTGCGCTCGCAAATTTTCGCTGAACACGGTTCAGCGAACCACCGCGCAAGAGGTGCTTACGGTTGATTCCCTGAACCCGCTGGCTAAGGATAATCATCGCCACTAAATGTAAAGTCACGGTAGATTACATCTTTTATAGGACAAACTTGCAGTTATACTCCGTTTCACTTTAGGGACGCTACGAGACGACAGGGCCAACCAAGCAGCGACAAAAGCGCAATTTTTGCACCTTATCGGGTTCCCCGGTTATGCACTCCGTGACGTTGCACCTTTCCCGCTATTTGATTGGCTCTGTCGTTTTGTAGCGTACGCTGCGCTCGGACTTGAGGTGAAACGGAGTATAACAGTCTATTTCTGTATCACACTTGCTGCGCTCATACAGGTTTGTGAACGCATATTGTTAAAGACGCATTGCGCACGTTTGCTTCTGAAAAAGCCAAAAAAAAATTAAAAAAACAACGTAGACAGCGCTATTTCCCCAATGACTTTGCAATCTGCCCCAATAAAACTCGCCGGTTTAAAATGAGTTTGAGACCAGGGGCCCTAAACTCGTCAAACACAAAGTTCGGGCCGAAGTTGACGGAGCGCACCGATTGGACAACCACGACGATGACTTTGCGCTTTTGTCGCGGACGTCCAATCAGCGCGCTCCGCGAACTTTCGGCTCCAACTTTGTGTTTGACGAGTTTAGGGCTCTAGTTCGCTATGGCGAGGGTACCAGACGAGCAGCACTGTGGCATCGCCCGCTCTGCGCCTAGCAGACGACAGAGCGAGGGTGTGCTAGCAAACGGAAAGAGCTTGTCCGCCACACGGCGTATGCGCGGAGTTTTGGACGGCGCCCGATATGTGGCGCTGGGGGCACGGGACGGCCGCCGCTGCCATGTTACAGCTAACAGTGTCCACGATAGTACATAGGTGTTAGAGTATACCGTGAGGCACCCTCCCGTCTGCTGGTGTTCCTACATGGAGTCATCCTTCGGCTCGTGGTAACGATACAAGTCAGTCTGAACCACCAGTGAAGAGTGCACCACCGAAAAAGAGGGCCCCACGACCTTCTCCGAGCTTCGTGCCTGAACCCAGAGGCCCGGACAAGCCGGCCGGCTGATGCGGCCCCAAACCAGCCCCTGGTGAGAGGCTCTCGACTATGTGAGTCCCTGTTTCGCGAGGACGTCCAACCTTATCAATAAATTGAAGGTCGCGACGCTGAACGTCCGTGGGTTTGCCTCGCGTCGCAAACAATACCAGGTTAGATAGGCTTCTCATTGACAACGAGATCGACGTCCACGCAATTCATGAGACAAACGTTCAAAGTTACGAAGAGACTGCGCGCCTGCTGGCTCCTTTCTTACATTATATTGAAGTTGGCGTAAGGCGCGCAAATGAAATATCTGGGGGGTGTATGTTGTTTTTAAAGAAATCGTTGAATGCACAAGTTGAATCTGCCATTGCCGACAGTGAAAGGCGGTTTGTTTAATGTGATTGCATTACTACCAATGTTGGGTACCGCATAATTAATATATACGCACCGAATGACTCGAATGCAAGAAAAGTGTTTTTTGAGGGCAACTGTACTTAGTTAGAATGTCACAAAATATTTTTTTTGTTGGGTGACTTCAATTTTGTATGCGATGCACGTGACCGATCCACTCAACATCTTCAACGCGATAGTAGCACAGAAGTTTTAGAAGAGATGATAACGGAGTTTATGTTACAGGATGTTGCTAATAATCAAAGGCGTACCAAAGGTGTATGGTATACGCATTTTCAGTCCTCAAGCCATGCTCGCCTTGATCGGGTGTTCGTGACTATTGAAGTTTTAACTGGCTTTGACGACTTCAATGTGTCACCAGTCTTTTTTCCGACCATGCCTTGGTCCTACACCACCTAGACTAGGAGAAGGCCTCCGCACTTCTCCCCTCCTTCTCTCTGACGTCATCGCACCTTGCCCCAGAAATTTCAAGGCTCCTAGTTAGTTAGTTAGTTAGTTAGTTGGCGGTACCTAACCCCTTTTGAGACAGGGGGGTCAGCAAAAGTTCAAATTGCCGACACAGGTAAAAGTTTTAGTTCTTGTTTTGTTTTAGCTTTTCCCACTTTTGGGACACTTTCACTGGTTGGCGATCAGACGCAGTCTCTCCCATTCAAGGAGAATGCGCTTGGTTGCTAGTGAACCGTGGGCTCCTTCCCCGAATCCCAGCATTTCGGGAATCTTCTCTTCGCTGGTCGCCCAGGGCGGTCGACAGTGGTCTAGGGCAGGGCACCACAGCAGCATTTGGAGGACGTCCTCTCTTAACTGCCCGCACAGATGACAGGCTGTGTCGGTGTCTCCGAAGAGTTGGACACGTCGGCAGCCTGTCATCAGCGCTCCTACCCGTGCCTGAAACAGTAGCGCACTTTCATGGTCCCCTCGATAGTGTGTGCAGGGAGACGGCTCAGGCTTGTGGAGCGCGTAGATGCTCTGAGGGGCTCTGCTTTTTCCTCACCGCTTGTCTCCAGGCCTCAAGTTCAATCGCGTTCACCTCCTCTGTCACAGCCTTGAGCCATCCTTTCTCCGATGTGGCCTCATGTCGCCTTGTCCCTTTGCTGTACACAGAGTCGAGCCTGGCGAAGTTGTTTGACCAGTTCGTCCTGCTGCTGCGGTATCTAACGTAGTGGAATGTCCTTTTGGCGTACGCTTCGTCTGGCATGTGCATCAGGCGCCCGAGGTATCCAAGCTTGGCCCTTGCATCCCGTTGCTTGAAAGTCGACCAGGCCATCTTTCCCGTGACGGCCAGGTCTGCAGTTGCCCCGTTTCCGCCCAGTGCCCACCTCCCGATTTCCACTTGATGGCGATCCAGTGTCTTCAGGGTGGTCTGTTGGAAGACCACTGCGTCGTTAGCATAGGTGACCGCCGGTACTGCGACACTCTTCCACAGTGCCCTCGCAAGGGTGTATGGGTTATAGGAATACTTTGCCATGTTCCACAGGTGACCTTTTCGGATGTTGGAGGTCTTTAGGGTGTTCCTCTCGTGGAGTTCCAAGTACATCGGGCCTTCTTGAAGAGTCACTCCCAGATACCTGTATTCCTTGGTATGTTCTACTTCCACCTCCTGAACTCTAAACGTGTGGTTAGGCTCGTGAACATTATAGCCCATCCACTTTGATTTTTCCTTACTGAATTTGAATCCCGCTTCATTCCCAATTCGAGTGCAGATATCGAGCATGTCTTGAAGGTGAGTTTCTTTCTCTGATAACAAAGTATATCACGAGCAAAGGCCAGTACTGGAATATAAGTTGTTTCCATGTCATTACTGGAGGTAATGGTTGTGAAAGAAACACCCTGCCCTTTGGCTTGCAGCTCCAGAATGAGATTGTTGATGTAGATGTTGAACAGGGTTAGAGAAAGGGAGCAGCCTTGGCGCAGACCCATAATCATGTTCACCTGCCCTGATAAATGTTCTCCCAAACTGTATCTGGCGTTGCATCCGGCGTACATGTTTCTGAAGAGCGATACTGTCTGAACATCCAGTGCCATCGCTTCTAACTTCGACTACATCTTCTCATGGGGCACTGCATCATAGGCCTTTTCCAAGTCAAGGTAAGCCAGATAGATTGGTGACCCATCTAGATTTTCTAGCTCTATTAGTTGTGTGACAGTGAATAAGTTGTCGCTGCCCCGCCGGTTCCTACAGAATCCATTCTGTGCCTCGCTGAAAAGGTGGGCTTTCTCACAGAGTCTCTGCAGTCTGTCTTGCAGAATTGATGCAAAAAGTTTGTAAACGTTACTTAGTATTGTTATCGGCCTGTATGAGTCTAATGATTTCTTGTCTTTATCTTTTCCTTTGTAGATTAGTTTTATTTTGGCTTGTTTCCAGGCTTCAGGAATAGCACTTTTTGCCAGCATGTTGTTTAGAAGGTACCTTAGGTGCGTCTCTGATAACTATCTCGCCTCCCGACAGATGGCGCTAGCTGCGTCACCGTCGTACGCGAACCCGGGAGGGAAGCCGTCGCCATTTTTGCGGGTTGCTGACAGCACGTGCGTTGCTTGTTTTTCTGTCATCGTACGGCCGTTCCATGTTGCAGTGCTCGTTTTCGACGAATTTATTTCGTTGACGAATGCATACTGCGACATGGGGCGGTGTTGTGTACCGAAATGTCGGGGGAATTACGACAATGGTCCCGAAGTTCGCTTGTTTTCTTTTCCGAGAGACGTTAAGCGAATAGCGGAATGGCAGCGGGCTGTCCGGCGGCGCGACGTCGACGTGGGGCTGTTGAAGGACCCCAAGGTAAGCTGTATCCAGCGTGCGCCTTCCCAATGGCCAATATGTCTCGTAATTATCCCAAGAAATACTATTTGGTGTTTTGTTTCTTTCACGCGCAGGTTTGCGAGCGTCACTTCAAACCGGATCATCTGCGTACAACGTCCACGTATACGGACTGCGATGGACGAACGATTGAAGCTCCCATGAAGTTGACGCGGCTAACTCCAGACGCCTTCCCAGCCATTTTTCCTGACTGTCCTTCGTATATCTCGGATGCGCGCAAGTCTCGAGAAGAGCCTGAAGTGAAAAGAAAGCGAACTGAAAATGAGCAACTCCAAAAAACCATTCAAGAGTCCCTAACAGCGTTTGAAGAAGAAGAAAAACAGCACAAAGTTCACAATCTCTGTGAACTGATTTCTCGTGTTAACGAGCAGCGAGATAGGAAGTTTTGGTGTACAACAGCATGTGAGACGTGCCTCATCTTCTTCGCCCACATCGAACCGGCATTGCAAGCCCCTGAGCTGCTTGTGTCTGTGGTAGTGTCACAGGATCTCTCCGTTCGCGTGTATTTTAAATGCGCTCCGTTGGTGTCGGATGATGTGTGCATTCCTGGCGATGACGTTCGTGTGCGTGAGACGTGCCTCATCTTCGCCCACATCGAACCGGCATTGCAAGCCCCTGAGCTGCTTGTGTCTGTGGTAGTGTCACAGGATCTCTCCGTTCGCGTGTATTTTAAATGCGCTCCATTGGTGTCGGATGATGTGTGCAATCCTGGCGATGAGGTTCGTGTGCGTGAGACGTGCCTCATCTTCGCCCACATCGAACCGGCATTACAAGCCCCTGAGCTGCTTGTGTCTGTGGTAGTGTCACAGGATCTCTCCGTTCACGTGCATTTTAAGTACGCTCCGTTGGTGTCGGATGATGTGTGCATTCCTGGCGAAATCCGTGACGTTCGTGTGCTGGATAACCTCCTGGACGACGTGGAGGGCTCTATTGAAAAGAAGACCCATCAACAGGAGGACAAGGTAGGAAGAATGCTTGAACTGGCTTTCTCATTGCTCGATGACATTTGTGACGATGAGTTGCATGATGATGAGAGGGCTGACGCACTGATCTTCCTGAAGGAACAGTGTTAGCTGCTAACAAAGAAGAGCGGAGGTGCGCGGTATTCTGCAGAGCTTTTAGTTTTTTGCAGCATATTGCACACAATTTCTCCGCACGCATACAAGTTTTTTCGACACAGCAACAAGCTTGTCTTGCCACATCGCACAACCATCAAGCGAGTTTGTGCTGCTCTTGATGTTAGCCCATAGCAGGGACAATGCGAAGAAGGTTTTCTCAGGTACATTAAGCGCAGGGCAAGCATTCTAAAGCCTCGTGAAAAAAACGTGACGCTCATGCTTGATGAGATACGCCTTCAGCAGTTCTTCAGTCACCATCCAGATACGGTACTAAAGAACATTTTAAAACCGGCTGTCAATACGCTCCTGAAAAACTATGCTGCTCGCAGGAATGACACTATCATAAAAGAAAAAGGGTGCACAAAGCAAAGAAAGTTACTAACGCTACAGTAAACTTTGCTAGTTGCCAGTTTACTCAAAAATAAAGCAAACTTCGGTAATGGCTAGTTTTTTTAAGCTGGCAGTTTCGGCTTTTTGTTGCACAATGTGATTATGGCTGTGATTATGACTGTACCAAATGCTTAAAGTTTGTTCTTTAGAATGCTCTTCATTCATTGTAATAAATGTTCTAATGGCTAGTTTGTTTTGTCGTTAACGTTGGCCAGTTTGGAATTTCTTTTTGTCGCACAATTTGATTATAGCTGTGAACATTACTGTACCAAATGCTGAAAGTTTCTTCGTTGTCATACCTTATTGATACATTGTTATGAATGATCAAGTGGCTTGGGTTTCTTTTTTCTTTTCTAAAGCTGGTTTGTTCAGGTTTTTTTCGTCGCACAATGTGGTTATGTCTGTCATAATGGCCGTATTAAGAGGTAAAAGTTCGCGTCTTCCTTGTGATACACTGTACTTATATTGTAATAAATATTTTGAGATGTAGCCGGGCCTTGTGTACCTTTCTTTTAATGCCATCGGAAGCAGTCACGACCGCCGTGATGGAGCGCAGCAGCAGTATTCCATCTCCATGTAACTTAGTATTCGTTAGAAAATTTCATATGCTATGCATCTATTGCGGCAATGCAGAAATAGGCGTTTTACGCATTTCTAGTAAGCGCCGCGCGGGAAGCTTCTGCGGCTCAGCAGCTCTCGTCGACGGGCCAGGTGCGTGACGTCACGGAGGCAGTTCGGAGGCCTTCTCCTAGTCTAGGTGGTGTTGCTTGGTCTCCCTTGTTGTCGGCGAGAAACATACAAAAACACAGCTTACTCCAGGATGAGGTATTTATTGAGAACATCAACTTATTGTTTAGGAAATTACTGACGAGAATAGCACCGCGAGTGTAAGATGGGAATGGTTTAAATGTGAATTTAAATCATATGCCTCGTACCGCTCCAGCACCCTTGCACACTAGAAAAAGGCCGAGGAAAAGCTACTTCTCAACGACCTTCAAAGGTTATTAAACTTGAATGCGAAAATCCAGGAAGGTTTGCGGATCATCTTAAGACAGCTAACAATAAAATCGCCGAACTAGAAGCAGAAAAGTATAAAGGAGTCCTTGTTTGGGCCCTGCGCTGAAAAATAGATTTTGGGCGAGCAGCCAAGGAAGCGGGCACTAAGCACAGAAGCACAATACGCAAAGAAGAAAAACATTTTTGAAATGGAACTCGTTGGCGTGCTAAGTAGGCGTCCCGAAGCCATAGAAAAAGCATTTGCTGATTACTACAGTTATCTCTTCCGGCGGCAGGATCACGTCACTGACTCACGACTTGAAAAGAGTATCTCCCGGTAATGCCACGCCTCAGTGACGAGATAAAGGAATGGCTTGAAGAGCCTATAAGTGTGGCCGAGGTCGAGCGAGCGATTGATGAACTGGCGACAAAAAAAAATTGCGGTGGCTTAGCTCGGCTATGCCATGATATACGTAGCGTGAGCTTATGCGCACAAAATGAGAGGCGCTATCAAGCGGCTCCGGTTCAGCGTCAAACGTGGCTACTGCGCAACGGAGGCGCACAGCTGGGCACGCGGCGGCGCCAGTGCGTCTAACTCGGCTATGAGGTCACCCCTCTGGAATGCGCAGACCGGCGAAGCGCGCGCGGCGGCGGCGGCTCCGGCGCGCCAGCTGTGCGCCGTGTGACGTCACTGCTCCTCGCGCATGCGCAGCACGGCTCTTTGGGAGCCACGCCAAACTGCTCAACCTCGCCCAGCGTAGCTCACGCTACAAAAATCTCCGGGACCCGATGGGTTGACTGCCAGTTTTTACAAGAAATATAAAAACCTCGTAGTTGGTCATCTTCACGCTGTATTAATTGAGGAGTACGAAACTAAAACGTTGCCACCTTCTTTTCTAAACACGCACACTGTACTGATTCCCAAAGAGGACGACGAACAAAAGTCAAGAAACATCCGGAACTATCGGCCGATAGCATTAGCGAACGTGGACTACAAAATATTAATGAAAGTTTTAGATCGGCGATTACAAACGGTTATTGGAGGAATAGTAGGAGAGTACCAAAACCTGTGGTATTAAGGGACGGTCCATTTTGTCAAATATTTGCACTGCAAGAAGTATATTAGAATTGTGCGATGAAGAACTAGACCAGGTAGCCGAGGCAGCACGCGAGGCGAAGGACTATTGCGAAGTGACTGGTGCGGCTGTCAATTGGCAGAAGTGTTGTGGCCTTTGGCATGGTTCATGAGCTACCAAACCAGATGTTTTTCAAGGTACAAATTTTACGTCGACGCCGACCAGGTATCTGGGTTTTCCACTCTAGCATTAAAAAAACTTCAATGCGTACTGGTTTTCGGTAGTTAAGAAAACACGCGAGAAGACTAGTAAAAGGAGAGGTTGGGATATGTCCATTTTCACGCGCGCGACTGTGTGTTTTTTACTTGCGAAATTTCGGTATGTTCTTCAGGTTTTGGCATGCTCTAGATTAAACGTACATAAGTTGCACCGCTTCTTCGCTGTGTTTATCTGGCAGTCTGGATGTGAAAGTGTGCGTCGCGATAATTTGTTCTTTCGCGTTTGTAAGGGCGGACTGTCATTGTCTTGCGTGTTTGTAAAGAAAGTTGTTTCGCGTTTTATGTTTCTAAAGGAGCAAACCAACCCCTTTCTTCGTGCTGTAATTATGAACAGACTGCCAGAGAACCTACCTATATATGTTGTTTCTTCGTATTATCGCGAGCTACGCAGGATAGGTAGTTTCCCTCGTGAGGTCATTGATGCGTACCGTTTTCTAACCGCACGATTCTCCCAGGAGTATTTGGCGAGTGCCACTTGAAAGCGCTTAACGCGTGATATTATTGAGAGCGACTTTCCCAGGCCTATGTGTTGCACTCTGTTTCATGCAGGTGCGAGGCAAGACGTTTTGTCCATAGTCAAAAAGATGTCAATCGCACCGTGTATAAAAACATTTTTCTTTATGTTGCACACAAACTACCTTGCTGTGAAAAAGTGGCTTGACCAAAGAAATATTTTTGTTCTATGGGTTATTGACGGTTTTTTGTGTAAAAGGCCAGAAACTATTGAACACGTATACCTAGACTCCTGGGACGCTTTACTGTTCTGGGACGTCCTCCAGCGGACTATCAAAAAAGATTTACCGTTAATACCACATGGTATTAGGTTCCTTCCTGTGGAGAAAAATAACGAAATTCCAGCGGATCCTATCATGCTCCTGGGTCTGCATGCAATATGGCGAAGCACAATGGCGGTTAGGCACGCCGATGTGGGCGTGCGCCCAGTAAGATCGTACTTTATAGAATCTGTCTGCAAACTAAAATCTGTCTATTCCTCTTTAGAGTGCCCGCCTGACTTGATGCCAACTCTGGACGTACTGGAGAACTTAAAAGTGTTTTAGTCCATGCACGCGTACTATCCACCGTGTATGTGATTTTAACATTGTGTGTAATCTTCTTTTTTTTTTGTTAAAGCGGGCAATAGAAGGAAAAATGTCTGCGTGGCATAGTCCATAGCGTGTCTGGCACGCAAGCGAAGGGTAAAGGTTTTGAATTCCACCACTACGTAAAATTATTCGAACTGTTTCTTTAAGGCGAATGAATTACTTCATAAAGTGAAATCACTTGAAATATGCTGTGATGTTTAAAGGGACGCTAACAGGCTGTTTATGCTCGCCAATTTATGTTTTATTTGTACATTTCATATGACAGCCCAACTACCCAGAAGAAAATTCACGGCTCGAAATTCGTTTTATTTCCGACCAAAAATAGCCGATCGAGAACTGGCCGGTTTGACTCGCACTTACTCTCTCCTCTGTGACCACGTGCCGTTTTCAATGGTTTAAAGGCATCCACCAAATATAATTGAGGCCGCAGGTCATCAGAGGCACACACACAATGTTAAAAATGAAAAAGAAATATGATGCCTCATTTTCGTGGCTTCTAGAATACTGCAAATTCGTTGTTTGTGGGGGAAAAAAAAGTATCACAGCCAGGTGACTGCCGCCACCTCTCTCCTCCTCTATATTTCCTCTTCCTCTAGAGTCCAGTTTCGGTTTCAGTTTCGTGCAGCTGCGTTTTTTTTTTTTTTTACTTTATTAAAAATATACGTGTCGCTGTTTCAAAATATTGATTGGGTAGTCTTTTGACGCCATAATAAATCGCCTGGCAAAAAAAAAAGAAAAAGTTTCAGGGGGTGTCAGTGTCCCCTTATTACGCAATACATGTCATGTTTTAATCACTTTCATACCACGCTTGATGTCACCTGTCACATGAGCGTTGTGGGTTGTTAGAAATTTCCGCGCAACGTCATGTGGCTCTGACTTAATGACCCTATCGACCAATCAGGATTTTCCTGTCCCACGTTACCGACGCTCACGCCGGATATTTTGCGGCACGAGCTCCTTAAAGCTACACTCTAAAAGAAGCCCGTGCGTCTGCTTTCCCGCAGAACACTCAGGGAGCCGATCCCCGCAACTTACGGAGGCAGCTCAGCAAATGACGATGCAGAAACATACGTTTAGACCAAAAGAACGCAGTCGGAGACGTGAAATTAAGC